TATATATATATATATACAATTATATTTAATTATAATTATGTATAATTATATTTAAAAATTGCACATAAATATTATAACCGCTTGGTGTGGCTCCTAGTATTAAAAAAAAAAAGAAATGCGCAGAACACGAATGACGCCAATCGTGTGTAGTACTAAAGATTAATTATACCCTTATATATAAGAGATAGAGAAATACAAAAATAATGAACTTTAAAACTTCTGGGTAATACTTTTTATTTTCCTTTTCCAGAACAAGATTTAAAAAAAAACTATATATTTGAAGTGCTGTGGCCACCACAGGTTAAAAAGTTTTGAAAAACTGGAGAGGAAAGTACACTCACCAAAAGTAAACGTCGTGTTCCCGCCTCTCCTTCTCTTTCTCCTTTTGCTTTTTTCTTTCTCCATTCTCGTTTATCATGAGCTCGTAATTAACGCACACATATTAATACTACTAAGCGATAATTATTTATCATTATTTTTTAAATTAATATTATATAAATGATAGAATTCTAAGATTTTTTGATTTTCAATTTTTTGATTGATGCTCAATAATTAATTATTTCCTTTATTGATAAAATATTTTTTATCATTTCCTTTAAAAATAATTTATTTACTAGATCCTTTTAGTGAATACAAAAACGTTGATACTTATAGTGTTAAAATGTATATAATGTAACGAGAAACGTGAAATTGCATTACAAACCCGAGATTCACCGCAAATTCTATTCTAAAAGCAACTCATGTAACTTTTGAAAGTAGATTCTGACGACATCTTACGCACGCTAGACAAACTAGATCCTCGTTCTCCGTAGGAAACTAGGTTCTTTAGGTCTGTTCGCGTTATTTGCACTTTTTGCACTCGACATCTTCGCATTCTCTCTTTTCTGCGCAAATATATTTATCTTAATTTTAAGTTCAAAATTTTTTGAGGATTTCAAGCAACACGAATAGATCTATTGTTATCCCATTTCATTTTAATACTTACAAATATGATGAACATGAGACGAATTAGAGAAAATACGTGCGATACGTGCCGTATTACCCGCTGGAAAATATCCGTGATTATGTAGTTCAATGTTTTGTGCTCATAAGTCATAGAGGCGCCACTAATCAAGTTCCATCTGGCTTCTACACTACACACTCTCGCATTATATAATGGTGGCTGCTTGAAGTCCGAATTTTATTCTTTCGATCGCAGCAAGATTATAAAAATGTCTGTTGGTAGATTAATTGTGAGTAAATTACGCATTATGACGTTAAAATTTTTCTAAATTAAGATCAGGATTAAGATCAGCTTTCGCTGTTTAGAACATTTATAAATATAAAATATAAATATAACGTACATTTTTACATACATCGAATCGTATTTATCGTTCGTACTATACTCATTTCCTTAAGTATTTCGTTACTCGGCTCGATTTCTTGTCAATAATGCGAATAATTTTCATTTCAGACACGTACCTTTTCCACGTCAACTGCCGTGCAGCAGATGGTGAAGGTATTTAATTTTGACAAGCGACTACGTTTTGTTCTTGATAGTTGACAAGTCCATGAATCAACCCTATAAACCCTATAAACCGTCTGGAAGTAATTTTGCATACTTTTACTTTAAATTCTACAATTGGAGGTTCTTCCTATAATTAATGCTAATCCATATTTTATAAAAAACAGAGTAAATAAACTCTAAATTTAGTGATATTTATATTTTCACAGCACTTTAACTTCACAGTTAATTTATTCTGTTTTTGTGGTTAGCCCACTGTTGCAGCAAGCCCTTCAATTGTTTTGCAGCATTTTGTAGTATAAATTCCATAAACAATTGTTTATATACATGTCAATTATCTTTATCCTATTTGATGCATTATTGCAGCCTCCACTTCAAGTTTTTGGAATAGAAGGCAGATATGCCACAGCTCTTTTCTCAGCTGCAACTAAACAAAAGGCTTTGGATGCAGTGGAGAAGGATTTAATCAGTTTTCAGGTATGATCTATATAAACAAAAAATTATACATCAGATGTTTATTTCAATATTAATCTGTGGTTGTGTTTGAATTAGGGTCCCCTAAAGAAAGATCCTATACTGATCGACTTTATAAAAAATCCTTCGATAAAGCGAAAAGATAAGGTGGAAGCTTTTAAAGCCATTGGAAAGAAAAATGGCATGAATCCAACCACTGAAAACCTGCTAGAATTACTCGCAGAGAATGGCAGATTGGTGAAACTCAATGCAATAATCAATTTGTACAAGTTACTTATGGCTGCTAACAGAGGGGAAGTAGTATGCGAAGTAATTACCGCAAGTCCACTTGATGCCGATATGAAGACGAAATTGGAATCTACATTGAAACGTTTATTGAAGAAGGGTGAAACCGCTTTACTCACTACCAAAGTAGATCCCTCTATCATTGGCGGTATGATATTATCAGTAGGTGACAAATATGTAGACATGAGCATCGCTAGTAAAATTAAAATGTACACTGATCTCATTGAAACTCCAGCGTAATACAGCATAGCGGTATGAAGGAATGAAGTAAAATGTTGCATACTCATATACATATATTCGAGTATTATGTAAATTATCGAGCAGAAATAAAGCTATAATCAAGTAACCTAAATCCGCAATGATTATTCTTTATATTAAATGAATATGTCAACAGGAAAAAAATATAGTAATTCAACTTTAAAACTTGATTTTATTTTTTATACTTGATAAAGCATTAATTATTTTTGATACAGTTACATAAATGTTTAATTATTCGTTAACAATCGTTTGTATTTAACTTTTCGTATCTTGTAGTGTACTAATAATGCGTGGCGAAGTGATATACTTTAGAGCCATGCAATGTGTAAAGTTCTCACATACTATATAATATTTCTGTTTTTCTTCCACTCATAAACAGAATTATACTAGAAACTAGAGACAAACGAGCAATAATAACAATAAGTAGATACTAGCATAAAAAATACTAAGCCTAGTGTCTTAAAGATCACTATTTGTCTGATATACAAACTTAAAACATTATAATAAAAAAATGTCATCAATGATGAATGTCACGAAGATTACGCAAAACTTTTGCTAAATAAAAATTGTAACAACTTATAACAAGATATTGAGTGATAATGATATACCATACCAATAGTATATCTTTGTGTGCTTGACTGGTGTTATGTAAAAATACTATTTGATTATGCAAAATACGTGTTAAATATGATATATACCTGAGAATTGCATTATATATTGTTTTCCCAAAATAGTAAAATATATACGCATACATATTTCAACAATTGTAAGCTTAAGTGATTACTGAATTTACTATATTAAATAATGGAGCTAAAATATAATTATATTTTACATAATATGCAATTCGTAAAAGATTATATTCATTAATCCACATAAATATATTAATAATTATACATAATTAACAATTAAAACAATTATTATGCATTAATTATTATGTTAAAATCCAAGCATTGACTAGTATTATCTTTCGATGATATTTACGAAATATAATTTTATTTGTTAATGAGAATAATTATAATTGCACGTCTCAGGACTTTAATCATTAGTGTACGCGCGCGCGCGTGCCTCATACTATATCATATATATATATAATATCCAAAATTATAAAATATTTTAAACAGTATTTCTCGTCCAATTTATACGTTGCCGGCGTTTGATAATCGAAATAAAAAAAAATTTAACTCTAACAATTAAGAAAACATGTCCTATAGAAAAAAAAATTCGTAGTGAAAGAATTTACTCCAAAACCACTCTTATATCGTATATCACGCAATTTTCTAATTATTTTCTAATTACTTTTTAATAATATATTATATACAAGACGTGAGGCAACTACTACGTACATATGTACAAGACGTGAGGCAACTACTACGTACGATTTTTGCTTAAAACATAATCGATGGTATATCATCCTTGACTAAAACCCAATCTTCTTCTTCTTCAAGAACAGATGTGGCGCATTCTTTTGCCAGAGCTGCATGCACAAGAATATTTTCTAATATCCGTAACTGATCGTGTTTTACATCACATATTTTCAATAATTCATTAATTACCTACCATTAAATTGATGTTCTAATTCGTCTTGATTCATGGGCAGTTTTTTTTGAATATCGATGAAATTATTACCAGCTGGTGGAGTCTCATCCAATTTACTTTGTAAAAGAGTCTTCCTGCATTCCCCGAGTTCTTCTAATCGCTTCAGTTCGGTGCGATAACTGACATCTTCATCTCCTGATTCAGTTCCCGTATGATCGCTCTGTTCGACAATTTCATTTTCATCATTCGTAATTAATTCTTCTTCGTTTACCACATTGTTGGATTGTACGTTACAATTGATGCATGTTATAGTATCCATATGGTTAGATATACTCAAGTCATCCTTGTCTATTCGACTACTTGTCATATATTTAGACAAATCAAAATCCAGAAGATCTGCTAACAGCTTTTCCTTGTCTTCCACATCTCGTTGAATCGTTTCTAAATCTCTATCCGGCTTCAAAATAAAATCGTCATCAAAGCTAATTTGCATTAAAGAGGAATGGGTCGTCATTGTCTTGTTGGTATTCACATGATCAGTGCTTAGACTGCTCGATAAATGATCAGTGTCATTTGACATTGTAACACTTTCGCTTCCATTCATTACTTTATTCCGAGATTTTTTCTTCCTTTCGGGTGTGAAAACGACGTCCTCGAATTCCTGTTGACCAATTCTTTGGAATATCTCTCGGCGATCGTTATTCTTTACATCTTCTGCATTTCTTATTCTATTATTATCATTGTATTCCGGTATTTTGTTAATATTAGTTACAAGTGGAGTATTTATATCTATTGGAATTATCGGCGGCACTTCTACAGCTTCTTCTGCATTTATAACCACGTCGTCAGTATCGACACCAACAGTTGGCACAATGCTACAATTTGATTTATTACTTTTAACTTAATCATGTTGAAAAAAAATTAATTATTAATTCTAATATGTTGTTTAGTTTTTATAAACATATACTTATTTTTATTCTAGAAATAATTTTTTACTTACCCTACGGATTGAATAATATTAGTTGGATCGATTTTAGGAAAAGGTATAGCTGGCACTATACTACTTTCTTTTAATTTCGAAGTTAATTCTAGTATACCATTAGTAACAGGTTTACTGTATTCAGCGAATGATAATAAAGAATCCATTGTCTTTCTTGTTTCTTCTGTAAGAAAATAATTTAAAAATAATTCAATGACAATCTTGTATCTAATTACGTCTAATTTAGAGAAACACAATATAATTGTGTAAAAATATCACCTGTAAAAATATCATTTTCCGGATAATAGGCAATTCGCAAAATATTTCTTTCTCCTTCCAATATAAATATTTCGTCTTTAGTGCAAGCCACATCGGTAACGTGCCGTAAATCGTTTACGATCGATGTTATTGCAATAGTATTCGGATTTACTACGTAGACTACGTCATCACAGTACGTTATCAATAAATCATCACAAAACGGTAATACGATGCCAAACGAGGGTTCTCCACGATTCTTTTTCGATCCTTCGGGTGCAGGATTTAATAACGCCACTTCTGTATGACCCGATCTAACTGCATCCTTTTAAGAATATTCATAATTTGATAACATAAAATAATGATGACTTAATATGAATACATATGTATGTTAACTTGATACCTTAAATATGAGTGTTTTCAGTACAGTCCCAGCCTTATCAGCTTGCCACAAACGTAATCCTGGTCTACTTGCATAGATTAGCGGTTCTTGCATATAAATTTGTCGAGAACCGAACACTGCTCCTAATTTACCTAATCTAAAGCACCAAAACATATTTCTTTATTTTAAATATATGAATATATATGAGAAAATTGAATATAAAGATACTAACGTTTTACGTTCTTTTTGGCCAACTTGTGTCACTTTTCCATTTTCATTTCTATTCACTAAAATTGTACGTAACGTTGTCGAGACTAGTAGCAAGCCCTGTTGATAGCTCAATTGTACCACTGAATATTTTTCGTTCAACAATTTCGATGATTTCGATAAATGCTACAAATAGTATAAAGTATCGCAAAATTACCGTATTTATGAGAAAATAAAAAAAATTAGAAAAAACTTTCAGTATTTACTTACCATATAAAAATCAATCTCTGTTAAAACTACTAAACCGTCTTTATCTCCACTGAATAATTTCATACCATTCTTAGACCATTCCACTGCTGTTACTGCAGTATTGTGCAAGCCACTTATGCTGTACCTTTCAACCTTGTAAAAAATAATAGCAAGCTATTCATATATCCTTTTTATATTACATATATATGTACATAAGTTTCATTTTTATAATTTACCTGTTTCTTTTGTTTTGGTTTTAAACTGTTTGGCAATGAGTCTGGCGGATTCTTGGGAATTTGAAAAACTGTAACAACGCCATGTTCATTGCCTGCTGCTACCATGTAATCAACCGTGGAGATCACTTGTACGCTCGTAATTTTGGAGTTTACATTCTACAATAAAAGAAAAAGGACATAGTAATTCTCTGAATGGGACATAGTATGTCTCTAACATAGTAGGTCTCTGAAATTTTTTAAATACCTCGCAACGTAATCTCTGCAGATCCTGCTTTTCTCTGTGGTACCAATAAACGAGCCCATGATTTGTTCCAATGGCGATAAACTCGGTTAGGGCATCAATACAGGTAAAACTGATGTCTTGCGTAAAAATACCATTTTGCATTTTGGCAGGTATCTGTTGCAGAAGGACGGCGAGCGGTGCCCACTCTCTCAACGGTCCACCATCCTCACACATAGGTGTTGTCATTATAACTACAAACACCTACATATTAAAACATCACTATTTTATATTTGGAATATAATATCTAATAATAACATAAAGTTTATTCCTACACTAGGCTGCACTACAACTTTCTTGCTTTCGTCAAATATGAAACATATACCTGTTTTAAGTTATAAAACTGGCTTAGCTACAAAAAATAGATCTGTTGCTATTATACTATATTTTATAGGCATCAAAAAACTCAAAGCTTTATTGCCGCGATATTGAAAGAGAATGAACTTTTCCAAAAGTGACATTAAACATGAGAAGTTATATGTGATAATGTAACCTTTATTGTGGAGAGAAAAAGCGAGATTTTTAATTTAAAAATTCTAAGCAAATAATCGCCTCGATAACGTGAGCCGCAGTGTTTTCTAACACACGCTAAATAAAGATACCGCAACGTAACACAGAAAGTATACGTATGTACCTCCGTTTCAATCGAAACAAGGAAATGGAAAGCAGAGATTGCCGAGATCGACCGGCGTTTTACTCCTTTTTTCTGTTTTCCCCTTCAAATGCTACGTTTCCTCCTTTTCTCCGCGGTATGAGATAAGCATCTCATTACGATAAGCGTTCGTGGTTACGTGTGTATAACGGTGCACATTGCTGCATACGTGTATCCATCGACATTTCTAACAAACACGAATTGACATGACTGTGGAAAGTGTGGAAACACACGCGTTACTTTACGCGTACCTTCCGAATTCTGTCTCTCTCCCTCTCTCTCTCTCTCTCTCTCTCTCTGTTCTCTACACAACAGTCG